ACACACACACACACACACACGCACACACGCACACACACACGAAGGAATCTATTGTCTCAAATGACTTCTGGGGACACTCCATGAATTATTGATTTCTTAGTGTGTTACTCTAACTTTGACCATACTTACTATCAACCTAACCTTAGCCAACATTTGAACCTAATCTTCAACTAAACCAAAGAGTAACAGTAACGTAAAATTATCCTTAACCATAACATAATGTAAACCTAACCATAGCCTTGACCTAAAACTAAATTTAACCTAAAACTAAATTTAACATAAAACATAACATTAACCTACCCTTAATCTAAATTTAACCTTAACCCAGAACTATACCTAAAACATGTTTTCACCTTAACATATCATGATTTACATTATGAAGACTTCATTTTTCCCCATACAGTGTAAACAGACCGAGTAATACCTGCACCGAGCACACACACACACACACACACACACTCGCACGCACGCGCGCACACACACACACACACACACACACACCTAAACTGTATCTGTTCCACTGTGATGGAAACAATCACAGACCAACAGCAGCTGTAAATACTGCATGAAATAAATCAAAGATGTTAGAATAGTGAGGAAGCCAGATTAAAAAAAAACTAAAGCATAAAAAGTGAAAAAATTTCGTCATATCAGGAGGAAATATGGAGTAACTCTTCTATTATTACCATCTCTCAGGACTGGAGCTGGTGCTGAAACAAGTAACTGAAAGTTAAAACGAGAGGCCTACCACAAGGATGAAATACTCTAAGAAGAATATAACAGAACTGAAAGTAGCAGTGGAACAGTCCTTGTGTGCAGCTTACACACATACATATACTTTCGCATTTCTGTATTGGCCTATCCCACAACTCTCTTCTCTAATTTACAAGCACATACATCCTCCAGTATTACATATACAAAACTTGGAGGACAAAGAAAATGTTGATGGAATAAATACAAAAAATTATTACATATAATAGAATATAAATTCACTTGTCCCAGGCTTTCTCCATATTACCAGCTAAGTTATCTGCGAATGACAGTAGGCTACTTATATCTGAAATAAAGAAGAATGTACAATCAAATATGAGTAAAGTACAACTACATAATAGAAAAGTATATTTATTAGTAAAAGAAAAAATAGTTTTTATCATATGGCTTTTTTTTAAATCTTTAACTTTATCATTTTATGTTCTTTGTTTTTATATTTTCTGTGTTTTAGTACATTTGTGTGTGTTATTTGTCCCTGCTCCTATTTATAGTTGAAACTGTCATTTCATAGCCTCTCATTTTGACAAGGGGTCGCTGGCTAAAGAGATCTTGTATATGAACAGGACCTTCCCCATTGATTAAAGAATAGTTCAGATATAATGTCTTATCCCTATGATAGTTTTTCCCACTTCAATTATTTTACAGGATTTATTTTACAGGTGAAAAAAACCAACCAAAAAAGGTTTTAAAATTAAATAAATGAATACAGTTCAATCAGTCTCTTTTGTGCAGGGGTGGTGATTTTCTTGAACACATTTCAACAGTATTTCTAAATGTTTGTCTCTCTAGTTGCAACATTAAGGCCTACAACCAAACACACCACCCCACAGGCCACATAATTACTATATGCCATAACAACATATGCTTAAAACATTAACTGGGAGGATTATTAGATTAGCAGAAAGTGCTGGCACTTTGACCGCTACTGGAACATCGGGAGCTGATGAGTCACTGTCAATTCCTGCCCCTCTATAAAAAGGTTTGAGAGAAACAGTCCTTGTCCAGATTCTCCGGTGAATGATGCGCAGTCAAAACTTTAATCAAGAAAGTGGGAAGTAAAGACGGAGGCGAGTCTGTTCACAGTGCGTGGGCCTCTGGCTGCCATTGGATTAACCAAGAGAGAAATACTTGGGAACAATACAATGGTCCATTCTCATTCAGTATAATCCTTGTTGGTATTGCAAGCAGTTTCATATGACTCTGCAGAGAAAAGGCTTCTACAAGCACCTCTCTCCAGAAGAGTTTCGACTAGAGATTAAAAAAATACAAATGTCCACTGTAAGTAGCTATTTTTCATTGTTTATCGCTTCGTTTTCACCATGTTTCATATTTGGTAAAAAGGTTTAGATTGCAACTGCATTGGTATGTTTGAAATTTGTGAACCTACTCAGTATTGTAATTGTGTTGCTGTGAGACGACAGTTGTGTGTAGTTCTTAAACTTGAAGATGTGTTTTTTAGAGCAAAATATATGTTGATGTTTTTAATTTGTTGTGTTTGCATTCCTGGAATTATTCTTGTAAAAAGTTAAAAAGTAAATCTTAAATTTGCTCTTTTTATCTTGAACGGAAGATTTACAAATGCAGCAGATTATGACTATGACTATGTTATTATTATGAATAATATGAAGGCACTGATGGAGGGCTGTCTTGCTCAATAAATCTCAGAAAAGCTGTTGAGGAGTGAAGAAAACAATATTTCCTCTAAGCTGCATTTTTTCTTCATCACAAGTCAGTTTATAGCAACAATTGCAAATTTGTGTTTTGTTTTTAAATGCAAGAATAACCTATAGTGGGTGTCACTGATTTCCCCCTGTCAATTTATAGTTATGCATCATGGAATAAAACCCATGTTCTCGGTTTAAGTCTAAAATATACTATGGGCTTCATTTTTTGATTGTAGTCCCCACCAACCTCTTGCGATTGGATGCTCCTGGTTGAACAGAAGAATGTAAGAGAACCTCTTTTTGGTCATTTTTGCTGTCAAAAAAAAACTACAAAAAAAATAATCTAGCATTGTTTCAGAACAAAGAAAGTTATCACAGAATCCTTAATGCTCTTTTTCACTCAGTTGTTAGTCTGCATGCTCCTTGATGCTTCTCCAGTGACACAGATGAATGAACAGCAGGGATGTATTTTCCTCCTGTATCTCAGTGTGCCTGTTTTCTCTTGTAGATAAATGTTCGGGTTACAACCATGGACGCTGAGCTGGAGTTTGCCATCCTGCCCAGCACGACTGGCAAACAGCTTTTTGACCAGGTACGCTGTGCACTACAATCAAACAGGCACTTTGCCAGACATAAAATATTTACTCACTTACACTTATTACTATGTTTAGATAGTGAAGACCATCGGGCTGAGGGAAACCTGGTTCTTTGGCCTTCAGTATCAGGACAGCAAAAGCTTCTCCACATGGCTCAAGCTGAACAAGAGGGTGAGGGTTAAAAGTTTGTGCATGAGCTCGACATCCCGCAATGTCATGACCTGACTCCCCTGACAGCTGAATATAAATGAAGATGTGATCATGATTATGGTTTTGGTAATGTAACTGTATAACCCATTGAGGCTAATTAGCACCTATTTCTTTACTTCGGCATCCCACTGCTGTGGGGTGTCAATCCCAGGTGACAGCTCAGGATGTGAAAAGGGACAACCCTTTGTTGATTAAGTTCAGGGCAAAGTTTTACCCTGAGGATGTCACCGATGAACTGATCCAGGAGACAACGCAGCGCCTCTTCTTTCTGCAGGTTGGAGATGAGCACACACACTGTACAACAATACTGATGTTTTTCAAACCAGCACCTTGATACATGAAAAGAGAAAGATGGGCTTTCCACAGAATTTCTGAATAATATTGCACATTTTTTTGTTTTTATACCATACAAACCTTCCACATTCTTAAATTAAAAAAATAAATTGACCTCAACATAACTAGAGTATTTATCTAGACATAAATATCCAATCTTGGTCGAGTCATTATCACTGTGTTAATACTGTTGTCTTACGCAAGAGTTTCAGTTACAGTTTAGATCTAATGGCAAATAACCAATCTCAATAAAAACAAAATGCTGAACCTGTCTTAACGACCAGTGGGGGTTCCACAATGAGTTGCGAAGATCCTCGTTAATCCTCATGGGTTTTCCATTAGGGAGTACATGCACACAAATAAACACCAAAACACAGTGACGGAAGAAATATTTTGATCCTTCACTCACATTAATGTGCCAATACAACCATGCATACACATCCTGCATGGAAGTAAAAGTGCTTTAAAGCAAAATTTAGTTAAAGTATTTTCAGTCAATGCATTGTTTTTGATTATTAGATGACTCATATTGAATCATCAGTGTGTACCCAGCATGTTATTGTTGGAGCTGCAGTAAGTACAAGATCTACTTTATAGTCAGTTTTATATACATGCATGAAGTTAATCTGAGGGACTGTGGCATAAGAAGAAAAAAACTTGGATGTTGGGTGAGATGTTGGATCATTTGAATATTTATTAAAATTAAAGGATGTGGAAAAAGTTAGTGGGGAGAAAAGCAATCACTATGAAATATGATCCTGACTACACACTGCTTTTTGTAAGACATCAGAAGCCAGAACGTTTGGAAACAGATGGTTTAATCTTTAACAGTGTGTTGTATTTTTAAAAGCTTTTTATATTATCCATTATTTGAAATCTTTAACTTTAAGATAACTAGTAAGTAGAGCTGCCAAATAAATGCAGTGAAGTGGAAAGGACAATATATCCCTCTGAAATGAAGTACAGTTGAAGTATAAAGCGGCATAAAATGGAAATACCCAAGTAAAGTTAATTTCCACCAAGAGAGTAAATATAGTCTTTTCTGTTTTTCAAATTACCAATAATATGATGTAACAGAAAGAAATCGAGTATAAAAGATCTTTCTGTATTATCTGTGTTTTAGGTCAAAGAGAGCATCCTAAATGATGACATATACTGCCCACCTGAGACTGCAGTCCTCTTGGCCTCATATGCGGTGCAGGTCAAACATGGTGACTACAGGAAAGACTATCACGTACCAGGATACCTGACAAAAGAGAAGCTGCTGCCACAGAGGTAGTGAGCCTTTGTGCCTATTGGTGTTAACCGAAGGTCAATCTAATTCCTGTGTCAGTCACCTGAATTCTAACTGATGTGTCCTATTCACTGATAAATCCAGGGTTTTGGAGCAGCACAGACTGAATAAGAATGAGTGGGAGGAAAGAATCCAGGTGTGGCACCAAGAGCACAAGAGAATGCTGAGGTACCCCACTCGTACATTACTAAACAAAGTCATGATATCATAATTTGGCAAAAAGTTGGTCTGTAGTTGATTAAACTACTCCCCACCACAGAGAAGACGCCATGGTGGAGTACTTGAAGATAGCCCAGGATTTAGAGATGTATGGGGTCAACTATTTCAGCATCAAGAACAAGAAAGGGTCAGAGCTGTGGCTGGGAGTAGACGCCCTGGGTCTCAATATCTACGACAAAAAGGACAAGTATAAAATGCACATCTATCTATGTATGTCGGTCTTTGTCAAAGTTGTTTTGAGTCAATGCACGCTAACTATGACTGTTGTATACTACATGTATGTCTTTTTGTAGCCATGCTAATGACATGGCTCTGGGGTGACAATTAATCAGTCTGTTGGTTGGTTGGTTTTGGATTTTAACAATGATTTCCATGAAAGTTTGTGCCCACATTCATGGTCCCTGGAGGATAAATCCTGCTAAATTTGAGTGAATCCTACTTTTTTTTCTAAAAGTCACAGTGAACTTTTTCTACTGAAATGTTTAAACAATTACTGGATAGACAAGAAATGTGGCACAAATATCCATGGTTTTCAGAGGATTAATCCTATTGACTACTGACAGATAGACAGATTTTTTCTCTAGTGCCACCTACAGGTCAACCATCATACACCCTAAAAACTTGTACAGATTTGAATTTTTAGTCGATGAATTCTAATGATTTTTGGTGACTCGTCAACTTTCTCTATCTTGATTGATGGATGGATGGATGGATAGATGGATAGATAGATAGATAGATAGATAGATAGATAGCTAGATAGATAGATAGATAGATGCTAACTTACTTGAAAAAAGTTGGTTAACACGGTAAACTTGTGTATTCGCGTATATAAATGCTTATTGTGAGTTTAATAGAGTGCTGATGTTAGCATTCAATTCAGAGCACAACTCCAATACTTTATACCATAACTCATATTTGAACTTCATGCCCTAATCTAAAAAACATGCTAATGATACCGCACTGAGAACCATACTGGAATTGTAAATCATACCATTGTTTTATAGGATGACCCCAAAGATTGGCTTCCCCTGGAGTGAGATCAGAAATATTTCCTTCAACGACAAGAAGTTCGTCATCAAGCCAATCGACAAGAAGTCTCCGGTATTCCATTAAATAACAAGCTATCCTTAATAGTGATTCTGTTTTGCAGCAGTTCTTATGTCTATAAAGTGTTTACAAAGCACATGTCTTTAATGCTGTCAGGCCATATTATGAGGTTACACACCAATAGTCAGACAAACTGGATGCCCCTTTGTGAAATTTGATGGAATGTTAGACTCTGAGCCCTGGAAAGAGGAATATTCACAGAATACTTTATCAAAGATTGACATATTCATATTTATTCACTGTGGCTGTAATCAGTAGGTTCAAGGGAATCCAATGTAATGACAGCGACTGGTATTTGAGCTCATTCACAAACATGAGTTTAGCCTCTCAGTTCATCTTGCCTTCTGACTGCAGGAAAGAATCCAAAAGTTTAAGAGAAAAAGTAATTCAACCCCCCCAAAATGGGTTATTTAAGCCATTACTTGAATGTAAAACAGATGTGATGTTGATTATGTGTCATAAATAAAATCCAGGGTGATTGCAGCTTGGTGTTTTTTGTGTTGCAGGACTTTGTTTTCTACGTTCCTCGTCTTCGCATCAACAAACGTATCCTTGCACTGTGTATGGGCAATCACGACCTATACATGCGCAGACGTAAACCTGATACGATCGAAGTGCAGCAGATGAAGGCCCAGGCCAGAGAGGAGAAGAATAAGAGGCAGATGGAAAGGTAAGTGTCAAGTTGAAATTGTGTAGGTTTTTTTTTAAGAGTTTACAGTTTGTTCTCTCTGCTTTAAGAAATAAGTGTGAGGCGATACGACTTTTTTTAAGATGTGTATTTATGCACAATTCTCCTGTCAGGGCTCTACTTGAGAGTGAGAAGAAAAAGCGAGAAAACGCTGAGAAGGAAACAGAGAAGATTGCCCGTGAGACCATGGAGCTGATGGAGAGATTGAAACAGATAGAAGAGCAGACAAAGAGAGCTCAAGATGGTCTGATTACATTTTGCATATACATATTTTTGACTTTATATTGTCTCTGTCTGACATAAAAATAATGGCTTTGCTTGTGGAAATATGAACACAGGATCACTTTAAAGCTCATCATATGTGGGCTTGTATTTGTGATGGGCGTCTCGTGTGCACATGTGCGTTTGTATTTCAGAGCTGGAGGAGCAGACACGGAGGGCTCTTGAGCTGGAGAAGGAGAGGACAATTGCCCAGGAGGAGGCTGAGCGCCTGGACAAGGACCGCAGAGCTGCTGTGGAAGCTAAAGCAGCCCTGCTATACCACTCTGAAACCCAGATCAAGAACCAGGAGAGCTTGGTACTCATGCATGACACATTGGCATTCCAAGTTATTAATGCAATTGAAAGGATTCAAATACACAGATATTTTTTCAACCCCCTCAAAACAACGTGTTGCTCTAAAATCAAAGTTTAGCCTGACAAAATTCAATTATGTTATTTCTTTACCCAAGGACTCATTATGGTACATTTACATACAGTCCATTGAACATTGAACAAGTCCTCAAAGCTACAACCATGTATTTGATTTATATTTTCAGCTACAACTGATGGAAATTAACCCAAGCTGTCTGGCTGCATAAGAACTCACATGAGCGCACACTGACAGATACACACAGATCGAGCACATTGACCTTATATCAAAAGCACTCTTTCCTCTCTTCCCATTTGTGTGACTGTGTGTGTGTGTGTGTGTGTGTGTGTGTGTGTGTGTGTGTGTGTGTGTGTGTGTGTGTGTGTGTGTGTGTAGGCCACTGAGCTGGCAGAGCTTACCTCTAAGATCTCCCAGCTGGAAGATGCCAAGAAAAAGAAGGACGAGGAGGCGATGAGATGGCAGAACAGGGTGAGAATTAATCAAAGAACCACAAGAGAGGTAAAGGATGAATCAAACATGAGCAAAGAGGGATGTGTGACACTGCTTGAGTGTTAAACCCAGGTAAAATAGAAGAAAGGCGTCAACCACAGATGAGAATATCCTTAGGTTTTTGAACAGTGTCTTTGGCACTGGACTGTCACATATAGTAAACTTTAGCCCCAAGAGAAGCCAGGAACAAATGACAAATGTATATGTTAAACTAATGCAAAAGATTTATCTAAGATGGATGTAAATCTTTGCATGCACAATTGGAGATCTGTACTTGTGTACTTTTCTGATGAGTATGGGCGACCGCTGCACGAAATGCTGTGAAGTGTGTTCACAGGATAAATTACCTCACAGTAAAGATGAAACCGTGTGAACATTATCACACCTACAGTGACAAAAATTGATCAAATATTGTCGTGTTATTGTTACGATGCTGATACTTTTACGATGAGCAAAGTATCTGCACAGAAGAGCATTGCAACCATATGTGAACTAACCAAATGACAGATGGTGATGACATGTAAAAGAAAGAAACAAAACAAGCGGAGCGGAGGAGAGAAAGTTTAGAATTTGTCACATTAAGTGCAGACATAAACCCTACATGTCTGGAGTCTTCTTTTAAACCCATGATTGGGGATGCTTACAGTTGCTAGCAATGGCCAAAGCACTGGCACCTTATGCTGTTACAGCACCAACCAAATCACCATGGTAATCATGGTGAGAGATTGAAAAATTTCTCAGTCAGGAACTTTACCACGGCTTACTGTGAAACCGGTAACCGTTTCATCCTTACCTCACAGATTATCATATTTGCAGTCTTAAAAGGTATATTTTTGGAACCCCGTGTTTCAATTATATCTAGTAGGCTTCTTGCACTTTAATATCCAACCACAGTGCTTCACTGCAAGTCATATGTGTTGACAGGCGATGATGGTTGAAGCTGATTTGGAGCGAACCAAAGACGAGCTGAAGACTAAACTCATAGGTGTCCACATTCAGGATTCTGTCCATCCCCACATGCATGAGCATGACGAGACGGACGAGAGCAGCGCAGAGGCCAGCGCTGAGCTAACTTCCCCGGGCATGGTCCGAGATCGCAGCGAAGAGGAGAGAGTCACAGAGGCTCAGAAGAACCTGAGACTGCAGAAAAACCTCAAGGTAAGGTTAATGAATACGGTATGGTAAAATGTCTTATTTTACTGATTCCGTTTAAGTCAGAGGTCAAGTTCAGTAAGAGATTAGCAGCCCTGGAGCTGCCCCTGAGCTTTTAGGTTTGCCCAGAAACAAATCACAAAACACATTCAATATTTAAATTTGAAGGTTCAGTAGATAAATTTGCAACCGTCCCAGCTGAATGCTGAAGTCAACGTGGCTGTACCTGATACGTACTCTAATGGACTCTAATGGACTGATTGATAGCTGCAACAAAACAGAGCATCCCTCTTCTCTCTTTAAATAAAAAGTTGCCCACTGCAGTCCAGACTGACGCATATTTAGAACTACTGTGTTGATGTGAATTTCCATTTTTGGAAATTTTTGGTAGCCAGGGGATGACTCCTTATGATCTCTTGACTATTCCTCTAACGCCACTCTTTGTGATTTCAAGACCAACAACCGATGTCTTGCCATGAAGGACTAACTTATAACAATGGTGATCCAATACAAACATTTGTTAGTTTTTTTGGTTTATGATCAGCTAATCAGCAGTTCCATTAGCAAAACAAAATGGTGAATATGATACCTACAGAATGTCATCCTTTTAGCATAGCCATTGTGAACATGATGACATGCTAACATTAGCATTCCACCCACTTGTGGTGTGGCTTTAGTGATGGTAACGTTGGTCTGTCTGGTGCCTGGTTCATCACTCCAAACTGAAACATCTCGAAATGATGAGATGGATTCCCTTGATGTTTTGATCTGACATTCATTGTCCCCTGCATTGGTTGTATATGAAGATGATGTGTTTTTTACATCCTCTTACCATCCAGAAATGAAGCAGAAATATTTTACGCATTTGGAGTCAAACTCTGTACAGTAACATTCGAGGATAGAATGAAGTCAATCATGAGTCAGTCCCAGCTTTCAATCATGATGTTTTAACCCATATCTATAGCATCTAAAAACATATTCAAAGCAAACTTACAGGGAAAATTAAGACTTGAACAAACATCAGTGTGATAAGAGCTACCTAAAACCAGAGAAAAATGTATTTGATATGTACTTTGATATTCTAGTTTATGTCCCATCTGTTAACATGGAGGAGGTGGGATTTATAACCTACACTGCAGCCAGCCATTAGGTGACAATCAAGGGCCTCACTTTTGGGGAGCTCTCATGTCCTCTCTTTGGAGATTTTTGCACCACAAGCAGGTTGATATTTTTGGCCCATATTTTACGACTATCAAATACTTCGCTGTGAATTTGTTGCTCACAGAAATATACCACAGATACAACTAACATGACATTAACTGAGTGAATATTAGGCACATTTAAAGGTCAGCATGTTAATATTACCTCTGCGAGTAAGATTCAGCTCAAAGCAATGTTGTGCCTAAGGTCAAATTCACAGGGCCACTCATCTTGTTTCCATTGAAATTCAGGTTCTCATCACTGAAATCATATTTTGATTGTCTAGACTTAATAAGATGGATAGCGGATATGCTTTTGTGTCACTTTCTTCTACCACCTCATACTGTTCATTGTTTGAAAACTGCCTTTTTGTCGCTGTTGTTTGTTTTGAGATTTTTGAAGGGCTTTGGTGCATTTGCTGTCTCTGTTGACACACTAATATCTGTAGGTTTGACTCTGCTGTAAAGTTAATTGCAGCCGAAACTTGTGTTTCACTAAGAACTCAGTGCACTTTGAATAATTAAACATTGTTGCGCATACTTTATCACTCTGCTGGTTTCATTTAAGTCAGAAATGCCATACAGAGTGGGGCCTATTTCAAAGGAAATAAAATTGGTGTCTATCTCACAGACAAAGCAAAATATGATGTTGTATGAAGGACCCAACACAAAAATGGGCTTAATAATGATGGACAATAGAATGCTTTCAGATGGGGATTGGGGGTAGTGCGGCGGTGAGGGGTAAGGCTTTTGAATAGTCTTCCCAATGAGAAATCTCTATAAGAATATTTCATTCACCGTGTTTGCGCTCTCTTTCAGTTCCTGAGCACTGAGCTGGCTGGAGCTGTGGACGAGAGCAAAAAGACCCCCAATGACCTGATCCATGCCGAGAATGTGAAGGCGGGCCGCGACAAATACAAGACCCTGCGTCAGATTCGTCAGGGCAACACCAAACAGCGCATTGATGAATTTGAGTCCATGTGAGACAGTCTGTTTTTTTAAAGGCAGGACAAGGAAAGATGATGAGTTGGACACACTTAGAGATTTTAGAAGTCTAGTTGCAGACATTTAAATACTGTAGGTAGTAAATTAAGATGACGCAAAAATCTGACATTGAATATTATATTGATACTATGGTTTGATGCCATTAATGTCCATGATTTTAGAAAACCTTCAATAGAGCACAGATACCTCCACCAAGGCCATTCATTTACAGCAACGCATCATATTCTATATGATCATCAAATGTCTGTGAGAACCATGCATCTCTAAACATTACACTGGCACCTGAAAAGTAACTAAAGCTGACATTTGTGGTGGAGCAAAGTACAATATTTCCTTCTGAGATGTAATAGAGTAGAAGGAGAACCTTGCATACATTTTATTAATACTAATGTTAAGTACAAATACCTCTGATGTGTACTTAAGTACAGTGCTTGAATATATGTACTTACTTCCACCAAGGAAACAGTCCTACACATCTATCTCGCAACCACTATTCTTATTGTGTAATGGTATGAATTGCATGTTGAATGAAAAACTGATGTATACATTCCTCAATATTACTAGTGCCATATGCACTTTGAATAATAAGTACAATTCTGTAGTGTGAATTCAGTGTTTTCTTCAGATCCAGATTATTATATAATCTATATCAAGAGATCTATAAAGTGATATTAACCTTTTATAGAGACAATATCTGAGATTTCTACATCTGATACATTATCTCATCTCCCTATATTATTTTATTAAATACCCTATCTCGTAAGGAAAGTGATAAAAGTGATCTGCCTCTTTAACTGGATCCGCAGCCACATAGTTTGGTGCTAATTGGTGTTGCGTAATCCTGCTGACAAATAAACAAACAAACAGTTGGACAGGCAGACACGGGTGAAAATGTAACCTCCTCAGCAGAGGTCAGAACTCACCTTCCAAATACATTTTTGATTTTGAAGGAACAAGAAACACATTACCAGTCGGGTTCAATGTTGCAAATATATGAGGCGAACATATCATCAGTGCTGTCAGTTATAAAAAGGTTTGCTTATGCTGACTCGTGTAAAACTTTGTTAGTACTGAATAATGAAAGCAGTCACATAGCCCAATAACAAAGAACGTGTTATCACTCAAAAATAAAAGTTAAATCATCTATATTTAATTGCAGAAATAAAATACAAAGAAACACACCATCACCAAACACCATCAGTGTGTGTGTGTGTGTGTGTGTCTGGCATCGGTTGTGACTGAATAAGCATCACCTTCAGTCCACCTAATGAGGCAAACAGTTCATGCAGTACAAGAACTGAGCAGCTGCAATCAAAAATAAAACCCAATTATCACCCTCAAATAGATGTGTGTCAATCTTGTATAAATCAACAACGAAAATTAATGTAGTGGTGGAGATGTTCTGTATATTATCCCCAATTCCCCAACAGCTGCACCTCTATCTCATTGTCATCGACAACTGCGCCCAGCCCAGACTCCCCACCTCCTCATGTGATGTACTGTATGTATGAGAAATCCCACCGATCTTGTTTTGATGATGTTTCTCTGTGTCAACGCCATTTACACTCTGTAGGCTCAGCCACTACTCCCCTCTCCTGTTACTGACTGCTCATCCATCAAATACTGCCCAAAAATAAACGGGTGAAAGTGCAGATCAGATCCCCCATTAACATTCCTGTGAATGTTGTTTCCATAAAGGGTTTTTAGTGATATATGTGTTGGCTTTGAAATTGAGCAGGTGGGCTTGTATTTCATGTGATAAATGTGACTATATATTTGCGAATTAGTCTTCAATACAGTGGGGGTTATCAGTGAAGGTGTAAGCATGGTCACAGCTTGTCTCAAAAATATTTTAGCGATTAAAGTGAATCTACTTTTTAATTATGATCATTCTCGCGAGATCTGGAGTTAGTTTTGTATTCACATGAGCTGTGGCGCGGTACAGAGCTGTCAAATGAGATATAAGTTGCGTTAAGGGTCATTGTCCGGCGCGTAAAACCGTGTTACCTCCTAAACCAGCAAACTCTCCGTGCGCTTTTATCCACTCGCTCCTGACGAGGTGAGTTTGGATCGCATGTAATCGAGCTAAACCGAGGTAAAGTTCACCAGCTCTTCTGTGGCGGAGCAGAGCAGAGCTCGATGGGACGTCCTTACCCCTGAAACCAGCAGCCTACGTCGATGACAGATTCTCTCCTCTGAGACAGATGAGCGGATGCTCAGTGAGTAGGCATTCTCTCGCCTGGAAAGTGTTGTTCTATTTGTTCTCCGCGCAACAGAGCGCACTGTTTTAACTCTTGCCGACGCGTGCCGAGCATGGCCTTTCACTCGCGTCTGTCCGAAAAAGAGGAAATGACACACTCGTTAATGAAGAATGAGCTTGACCGTTCGGATACCGTGGACTCCTACGCGTGTCCGACCACCGCCGAGCTCAGCGAGGCAGTGTCAGTGTCCTTAGGGCTGGATTCGGTGTCTTCTCCGCTCAACAACAACAACCATTGCACCGGCTGCGCCTTCCCAGGCTGTGACTCCTCCGTCGCGGGGAACGGAACTTCATCCCGGACGGTGTCAGAGTTAGGAGCAGCCGCAAACGCGAGCTCGTTGTGTGAGGACGACTTTGGAGAAGTGTGCCACGGCATACAGCAAGTGAGCTGCATGGATATGCTCAGAGCTGGCGAAATAATGGACGGAGCGCACGGCACCGTGACGCGCGGCCCGGTGATCTCCAGATACGTCTGCAAGGAGTCAAACTTGTTCGCGAGCCCCGTGGCGGAGCTGCCCGTGTCCTCTCATGCGGACGAGCTCCTGCCTTTTCAGAAACACTACTCTGCCTACTCTGCCCACCCGAACCTGCACAGGGACGCTCCGGGTATGTGGTGCGCAAACGAGCGCGCACACGGCGGCCGATCCGAGCCGGAGAGAGGCGGAAACGCTGGACATAATTTGTTTGGTAAATACTGTAATTGTGTGCAAACCTCTCTCGGATCCAGACAAGAATGCCACTGTGTCTGGTACGGCAAGGGCGAGCAGCAGCAGTGCGGTAAAGGTGACATACGAGGCGCGATGGCACAAGGGTACGGCCAAGTTGAAAGATACCAAAGTGCAATCGCTCAAGGACAAGCCACTTTTCCCACTATCAAGACGGAGCCATCTGTCTGGGTGGACTGCTCAGACCGCACTTTCAGGTAAATATAGAGAGTTTTACAACATTTTGTTCAGGTTTTTCGTTGGCACCGGGTCAGCAGGGCAGCTCCGTTAATAGTCACACACATTCTTTCCTACCGTTCATTGCGTCTCAGCTTTCTTGTATGAGAAACAAAAGGTGAAATGCAGCGTGAACATCGTGCCTGGTGACCACGCTTTAATCCAACAAGCTGAAAAAAGTAGGTTCTAATGGGCGTTGCATTGTTGGATTGTCTCTTTGTATTAAACAAATGAACTTGAGGCTTTATTTAATTTGATTTATATTTTTTTAAGCTGTGCTGTCCCGCGGGGTATTTCACTTAATGTCTTGATATTTCTGTAAAGATCTGCAGGGCATTATCATCATCCCAGTGCAAGTTAATCAAACGTGCTAAACATGATTATGGATTATTGTTATTTGGGTTCACAGTAGAGCCGTGCAGGTGCAGATGCAGCAATGCTTCAGCATGAATCATTAGGGAGCTCAAACAGCCCCATGTGCCTCCCCCTCTCTGTCCTTGGCAAAGCGTTTCAGCATGGTCTCTAAACTGAGTCAAAGGACACCCTATCACAGACTCTTCACAACTGCCCCTGTCTGTGCTGTGACTAGCTATGCAAAGCACCAGTTAATATATCAACGTCACTATAAACAAGAGATACAGCACCTGTTGCTGATCCTGCACTCACCAGAAGGACAATTCATATTCTGGGTTTGTTTTGTTTGTTAATTGCCTTAATTTGTCACTTAATAAATGGTGAGATAGGGAAATCTCCTGATACAATTTGATTGAGGGAATTAGTGGTTCAAGCATAACAGGAAACCTTGCACTATCCGAGGACAGACCTAGTGACCTAAATCTGCTGTGAATGCATCTATTTGACTGTCTGCCCGAGTTCTTATTGGTATTTTGTTGCTCCAAAAGGGTTCAACTGCTTATAAATGCTTCACTACTGTCTAATCCTTTTAAAACAGTTTTTATTTGTTTGTGTCCAGGCATGAGAATTTATTTCCAGCTGTGTACCTGTCTGACAGGAGAGTGTGTCAGGTGTGCGGCGACGATGCCTCGGGTTGTCACTATGGAGCAGTCACCTGTGGCAGCTGCAAAGTGTTCTTCAAGAGGGCTGCTGCAGGTGGGTGTGACACACACACACACACACACACAAAACAAAGACACAGTGCGCCCTCACAATTACACATCTGCTGATTTAATTTCTTACACCCACTCGCTCGCTCCATGTAGGCAGGACACAGTGACCTGACATTAGGAGGGCGAGTTGTTTGTTATCAGTAAACACCCACGTGTCGTTGCTATGAGTGGAAGCCGAGGTATTGTGGAAATCACTCCCCTCATCCCCCTGGGACTTTTGTGTGCCTCCAGGTAAGCAGAACCACCTCTGTGCCAGCCGTAACGACTGCACCATTGACAAGCTGAGGCGGAAAAACTGCGCCTCGTGCCGCCTTAAGAGATGCTTCATGTCGGGAATGAGTCTTAAAGGTGAGGAATTAAAGGTGAGGACAGAAGGGGGAGACTGAGGAAAGAAAGTATGTGTGGTGTGTCCAAAAAAAATTGGGGTCAGCGTGGTCAGATACCTTAAATGCATTGGATCAGAACTTACTAATAAAATGTTCTAGCTTAAATACAGTGTAACAAATGCATTTCAGCAAAGGCCGTCTACCAGCCAATGATCAAAAACCTTTCCACATGGTTACGATGAGGAATAGCTCCTTAGGCTTAACATTCATTTAAGTATACTCCCATTTAAAGTGATTACAATGTCTCCTGCTGTGAAATGTGTAATCAGACAAGACAATAAAAACATTAACACTTCTTATCTCCTTTTTGTCCCATTTTTATCTTCTGTTCGTCTGTATTTTCTGCGGTTGATTCTAGGTCGCCGGCTGAAGGGAGCCGGACAGACGAGGAACGGAGAGGAGGAGCAACCTTCCGCCACCTGGGGGCCCGGAGATAGACAAGAGAGGTCCGGGAAGAAAGATTTAATCTTGGAGGCCGGAAGTGCAGCTGCCAGAGCTCAAGGTGGTGAGAATTAGTGTCGTATACAAGCTCAAATATTATGCTAACTCAATATTGAGCATACTGCTGCCATCAAATATTTTCTTCTTTGTACTATTTCTCCTGGCTCTTGTTTCACTCTGTCTGTATGTCTGTAAACAGCGTCCCAGGCCCTGGCTCTAAGCATACCCCCGACCCTGCGCTCCTGCCTATCACTGCTCAGCGTCCTGCAGGCCATCGAGCCAGCTGTGGTCAATGCCGGACATGACCATGCGCAGCCAGACAGCCCTGCGTCACTTCTCACCAGCCTCAATGAGCTTGGGGAGAGACAGCTGGTAACTGTGGTGCGTTGGGCCAAGGCAATACCAGGTAACACAGCTTGGGCCAAGGCAACATGCTGCAAACTAGTCCATCCTACCCATGGTTCTCCTCTGCCAAGGCTGTGTGCATTAAACTGCTGTCATACTCGTTTTAGTTTCAGTATACTACCCAGACAAAGCCATGTCTACGTCATGCTTAGGAAAACTCTGCAAGTTCAGGCCTGCCAACCATATTCAGCAAATGAATGGAAGACACAGTGGGGGGTGGAAAAAGAGCAGAGAGTAGCATCACTTTTATAACATCTACCAGAGAAAGTATCTAATGTGTGTTTGGTTGTAAGGAGCCTCAGAATCTTGTTAACCAGATAATGGGCCAAATATTTACCCATGTCTGTGTAACTTTACCTGCCACGTGAAAAGCAGCCTGTTCAAATGTGAACCACTAGAGGGGGATGTGGTCCTATTGAAGTCATGTGTTTTTTTTATTGAAACATACACAAAATACATACAAGACACTCCCAGAGAGCACACAGGTATTAACAAAGACAGTATAAATGTTGTGAAGTATACAAAAGGGGATATATGACAGTCAGGGATGAGACACACACACACACACAAAATTAGGATCAAACACTTAAAGGTTCTGTGTAGATTCAGAATCTCAATGCAAAATTATTTAGATATATCCACATAAAACGTCCTTGTTTTACCACAGTGATTAAATATTTTTTTAAATCATTGTTACAACATTCAATTCCATTTATTGCAATGAGTACATTGCATATATAAACATTATCATGTTAACCATGTCAGAAACAGATGAATTTAGATTATCCAAATAAAAAGGATACAGGATATGCTGGAAAAGATCAAAATGTCATTCACTCCAACCAATATCTAGCCACAATTAGTTTGAAACAGGGCGTGAAAAGAAACATCTTCTAATGTTTCATCTGTTGCATTACAAAACGTACAAGCCAAGTGTTTCTGTCCTGCAGTGTGTTCATAAACTTCTCTCATAGTGTTACCACTTCGACTCCAACAGACGGGCCCGTGTGATTAAAAACACGTGTTGTTAACAGGTTTCCGTGACCTGCATGTAGATGATCAGATGTCAGTGATTCAGTTGTCATGGATGGGGGTGATGGTGTTCGCTTTGGGCTGGAGGTCCTACACACTTACAAACAGTTCCATGCTCTACTTTGCTCCAGACCTCGTCTTCAATGAGTAAGTAAAAAAAAAAAAAACTCCCGTCAGTCATTATATATCTGTAAAGATCTTATGTTAAATGACAAAAGTTCAAATAAAAGTTGTTTTATTAGGGAAAAGTTTGCTCACACTAAAAATCTGTAATATTCATTGTGACATTAGGGTTTCACCTGTCACCACAACTGGAAAGAAAGGCATAGTCTAATATGAGCTTCAGAGAAAGCCAATGTCGCCGTCTTTGGCGAGACACTAAACAAGTATATTCTGTTCTTACCTCTCTGTCTGATATACGTGGCCGCAGAGGGATCACCTCAGATGATTTATTCCTTTTCATCTTTTTTAAGTCTCTAAGAACCGCTGCAGTTTCTGTTTCATTTTCTTTACTTGCACAAGTTTAGATTTGTACTGCAACGTCCTCCAGTCTGTAGAAAAACACTTCTGACACTTCAACTCTCCTCTTTTTGTTTTTTCTTCGAACACAAAGTTCATGACCGTGTATGAAACAGGAGCTATATTTTTTAGAAAAAAACTCCGGAGGATCTCTGCGCAATTTACCTTTTACACATGAACCACACATCAGAAGATTCTCAGACGTGTTCACAACAACACAGAAATCTCTGGAGGGTTCAGGTGAGGGCTGATGCGGCAGGCAGAGGCAGGATGTGATGTAGACATTTCACTGAGGAGATCACGCCTTTTTGCTTACAGAACACCAACACCGGCCTCGGCCCAAATCAGCAAAAGCTGTCTTGACATTTTGGTCGATGTCTTCTACGTGTATGGCACCGCTTTTTCATCCTGAGATCTCTTTGTTTTTTATTTTTGCGCCTGTCGGGTGTTAGAAACCTCATCAACACGACCCCTAGAGGATTTCCTGCTGTTTTCACACATTTTTACTCGGGGGTGGGCCAGACTAATTCCAGAAAAAGTCCAGAGCCTCTGCCTTAAATATTTGTGTTACATACAGTTATTCCGGAGAATGTCTGGAGATTATCAGGAGTTCAGTGCATGTCTGGAAGCAGCTGTATAAATAGCAAAGCACAGCCTCACATCAGTACATTGTCCTCGTGGTTAAAGGAGGTTATTGCTCAGAAAACTGAAGCCGGCCTCAGGCCCCTCGTAGCATCTTTCACACGGCTGCTATTTCGCACAACAATAGCGAGACACTCATTCTGTCTGCATTAGACCTCTGTCACTCTATCATGCTGCTTCTGACCTGCATGGTCATGGATAAGCCAGCCTTATAGCTGACCCTCATTTTTCTCTGCCTCTCTGCCAATCAGATTTTTCCATTATCCATCTCACTCATTTTTTCTCACCTCTGCCACTTTCTCCTCTTTTTTTTCATCCACTCTTCTTTCTGCCACCACCAATTGTCTTTCACCTTCCTATATTTCTCTCCGTCGGACCCTCTCTTGGCTTCTCACCTCCTCTTGCTTTTCGCAACTTGTGCTCCTTCTTCTTTTTCTTCTCCGCCTCCTCTCATGCTGTTTTTTTTTCTTCTTCTTTCCCCAAATCCCTTCCTCACAGCCACCGGATGCAAGTGTCCAGTATGTATGAACACTGTGTGAGAATGAAGCTGCTCTCCCAGAGGTTCTGCATGCTGAAGGTCACCCAGGAGGAGTTCCTGTGCATGAAGGCGCTGGTCCTCTTCAGCATCAGTGAGTCAGCTCGGGCCAAGTGAAATACAGCCACAATAGAGCGAGCCATACCTCAGAGAATTGATGGGGCTGGATAAAGTCCGTGAGAGTTATTGTTGTGTTCTGGCTTTGTGGTCACAGTGCCAGTGGAGGGTCTAAAGAGCCAACGTTGTTTTGATGAACTGCGGACCTCCTACATCAAGGAGCTGGACCGTTTGGCCAGCCACAGCGGAGAGACCACCCGTACACAGAGGCTGTTTCAGCTCACGCAGCTGCTGGACTACCTCCAGTCGGTAATACACTCGGAGCTCCATTTCATATTTCACTCTGAAACAATATGTATAAGTGTCATTTGAGTTGGTGTCACTGAACCACATGAGCAGGAAATGTGTGGATCAAAGTTCACCTCTTAAATACACAAACAGTGTATTTGGCCTATAGCAATATAGGGTTTCTTTATTATTCACTAACTAAACTGCACTGACTTTTTATAATTTCATGGCAGTAATTACATTTTAAATCCAAGCAACAGTCTTTTTGTATTCAGTTACAGACACATCTGTAAAAACAGTAACGTCATCCTCACAAAACAAATTCTTCTAATTTCTGTACCAACTGACAAACCGAGGGTGCAGCACCAGTTTGTGCACAGATCTCCAGCCACTGACAAATAATAAACACACCAATGTGTCATGTGACTTCACTGTACTGGCTGCGTATTGGCATGGAAAAATGACAGAGTAATCCTCTGGTGGAAGCATTGGTACAGCAAAAGAGGTGGAATAGTCCCTGAGGGAGTGTAATGAAGATAAACATCACACACACACACACACACACACACACACACACACACAGTCATGTGTCCATGACTTCAGACGTCTTTACATTGACTTACATTGATTTCCTGGAGACTTAATCTAATTTTAACCATAGTTACTACTTGCCTAACTCTAATCCTTACCCTAAACCTAACCTATATTTAACCTAAGTGTAACCTTACACTAAACCTAACCTTCGTCTAAAATTAAAACCTATTTATTGAAGTCATGGAGACTTCGTCTTTGTCCCCATAAGGAAGTCAAGTCGCATAATGTGACTATAGAATTACAGATGTAGGTCCCCATAACAAGAGTAATACCTGGACCACGCACACACATGCACACAGGCGAAGCAGGAAACCATCTGCATCTCATATCATCCAGTAGTTGCAGACTGCACAGTAGCTGCAGAGAAAAAGGCTGAGGCTCTAGTTCAGATCTGCAGCTGTAAACACATCTACACCCAGAGAAAGAAGCTCCTGCAGCTCTGACACTTGTCTCACCTGTGTTTCACCTGCTCACGATGTTAAAGACACTTAAAAAATACTTACTCGATCTGCCCCCTGATCCGAAACAGAAAAAATATTATGATATCTTCCCACACTGCATCCTTCCACTAAGTTTCATGGTAATCCATCTGGTAGCTCTGGACAGTGGTGAAAAAATAGTCTTGATGACGGAGGAAAGTAAAGCAACACAAAAACATTTTCATTGACTCTGTTCCATAATTAAATACTCAAACTTTAAAAGTGTGTGTTATTAAAATAATTTCTTTTGTTCCACAGTCAGCTCTGGATAGTTTACTACTTCCTAGAAACACTTAGCAGACTCGCCTTTCTGACTGTCAAGTACCTGTAAAAGCCTCAGATTAAGCCTGAGGCAGAGCACCGAACATTTGCTGTTTTATAGCCACAAGGTGAACCCTATTTTTCTGTATGATTAATATCCACTGGAGGATGGTCTGACACAGGGGTTTTCACTTTTATAAATTATTTTATTTTAAAGTAGAAGATCAATGAGTCGTAAATGTTTAAAAAAAACTGCAGGTATATAAAAAAAGCACTTTATGAAACTGTAATAAAACTACTTGGATTTTGGCTGGAGGCATAGTTGAGGTGCCTGTCTGAGTATAGGTAGTAATATCAAGTGTGGCTCCATATGAGTTAGCTCATTAAATGCAATGCATGTTCTCCTGTCACCCATCTACTCATCATTATTAACACCATTCTGTTTAAACTCCTGCTTGAATGTGTTGATATATATATATGTTCTCATGCTTTATCAGTTATTTAATCAATATTTGAAGAGGGAATTGCTGGTTGCCTCCTATTATTATTATTATTATTATTATTGTTGTTGTTGTTATTGTTATATTATTGTTATTTTTTACATTATTATACTTAAGATCTTATGTGCGACCAGTGGTGAGGGGGCTAAATTGTTAACAATGAATCCTTATTGCCATTGTATCTGTTGAATACATTTAAAATATATTAAGTTAAGTATTGGGGAAAAGAATATAGAATATATTTTGCAGTAGTTATAGTTAGTTTACTGTGGTGTCCAAAAAATGACTGAATATGAATTGGGTTAAAAGGATGTAAAGATTCATGGTTTATGAGCGACCTCTAGAGGGTGTAGTTGCTTCTTTCTTTAATAGCTTCAGAGCCTTTAACTACTACTATTTTTGGAGAGAACTATTATTTGTCGCAGGAAAAACTCCTGACTTCCCTGATCGGGGTGTGACCGGGGGCACAACTTGCAGGAAAGTTTGCAGCCACAGTGAGCCGAGCAGCAGCCCTTTGAGCCTCACGTCTCTCACTGTGGATTTACCCCTGAAGCTTTGTCTGTGTCCCCCTCACGTCTCATATCTTCCCAGGCCTTAAGAGCTGGCAGGCAGCCAGTGCTTGTCTTTTAGTCGGAAGACCAGAGTTGATCGAGACTTTGCAGTTCAGACCCCTTCGGCTTTACCCTGCCCGTGGAGCTTAAGAGTGTCACAATGAGTATCATCTTTTTAAACCCCGTCTTAAAGGTTGTGTCAAAAGACGGGGCTTTGGTGCCATTTGTTGTTTCCTTTTTCATCTGCAGACTTTGTTCTCTTTCAATGTCGTACACATCTAAGTGCATCGTGTTTGATGCTAATAACCCCTGCTTGATATTCCTTTTTTTGTGTCTCTGTCTACCTCTGTCTCTTCATCTCAGGTTGTTAGGAAGCTGCACCAGTTCACCTACGATCTCTTCATCCAAGCTCAGTCCCTGCAGACACGCGTCAACTTCCCGGAGATGATCTCGGAGATTGTGAGCGTGCACGTGCCCAAGATCCTCTCCGGCATGGTCAAGCCCATCCTTTTCCACAATACGGCCTAGAGTTAGAAAGAGAGAGAGAGAGAGAGTCCCTACACTTAGTCCTCCGAGAGAGGAGTCATGATTTTACGAGGTGAAAGAAGTATAAGCCCCTCTTTACAGCGAGGCTACGAGCGGGTTTTAACAGAAGGGAATACTGCACATTCTTCCAGCCTAATCTAATCTAGTTACATCTACTCTGTGCTTCTCGCTGCCTGTTCTCTGTGTCACGCACAGCAAATGTTTCTGGAGCTGATTAAAACACTATTTAGCATGCATTCCTCCACGCAAAGCCCATGAGTGGCCAGTGGTCTGGCACGTAGACTTCCACAGCCCTTCATACAGATTGTGACAAGAGGCCATATTTCATTCTGAGAGGTAGGACAGTAAAGGAAAGCTTTCTTTTTTCTTCTTGCAAAACTCACATCACCGTAGCTTGTCTGTGTTTGCAGTAGTTTGACATTTGGACTGGCCTTTTTCTTCTTCTTCCCCACAATGAATGTTATTGTGTGCACCTGAGATGAACAAAGTCGTTGAGTGACAGTTAATAATAGACGGTTGTGACATGCATGCTAAGAGGCAGCGCCATATGAAGACATTTCTGAACACTGTTCTCGATCGTATATTTAACAGTCGACTGGTTTAAGGTGGCGACAAATGAAATGCACTTTTGAAGTGACAGCATTGATGCTAATTTCAAATGTATATTTGTCAAAATGCCACAGCAGAAACAATGAAGAAGATAATTGGACAAAACTCAACGTTCTCCGAAGACTCGTCAGTCGACTAACACTAAATGATGACTTCATTTTTTTAAGGTTTGCTTGTTTCCAAGTGTCAAAATGTTACAGATTTTTCCAGAGTGGGCATTTCATACTGTTTTAACTTTTCTACGGTTTCTTAAAGCGTTCTTTGCAGGTGCTTTGTTGTGTATCATCGTGTACTCGTCGTAGCTTTTTGACAGTTTCGCTAAACGTCCAATGAATCTGCTGATTTTTGTTGTAACATTTACGGCCTAACATGTAATAAAACTGAAGCATGAGTGTGTATCTGGTGGTCGATAATGAGGGTTGAGGGCTGTTAATGAGTCGCTCTCTCTTTTATAGCACGAGTCTGGTTAAAGTGTGGTCTCTTTTTTTTTTTTTTGAGTGCATGCCAGTGAGAATACAGTAATCTTCCCGTTTCCCCTCTGTCTTGATAGATTCATTTCAGTCTGTGGTGCAGTCAAGTGGACAGACAGGCTTTAGAAAACATCACAAGTATTTTCTACTGTGGAATTACCCACCCCTCGGGATTAACTCAGTCTCCACCCAGCTAGGTAATAGATCACAGCAGGGTCCCAGAACATATGACGGAGTGAAACGAGGAGGCCTGGCTGATTTATTCAAACTCTTCATCCTGTGAGAAACAGAAACAGCCCAGGCCTGCTGATCTTGCTTGGGTTTTAATGCCATCCAGTGGCGGATGTAGTAGCTGCACCCGTTCAATGAGGCTCGGCAGTGGTAGCAGGCTACATCTGTTGGATCCATTGACATTTGCTTCGTAATGTAATTGGACACGGATTCACTCGATGTTTGAACTAGGTTACCATTAAATAGTCAGAGTCACGAGAAGGGAGCTCTCACAGCATGTGACGGCAAACACACAATGTATTTTAACAAAAGGCACAGTTCAGGGCTCAACTGTGAAAAAGTAACACATTATTACACATAACACATAAGAAAAAACATGATAATATACATTATATCAGAACTTTTAAATATGTTTTATTTAAAGAATCTGCAGATAATAGAGGAGGAAAACAAATAGCCTTTTACAATATGTGCAATTGTTTGTAGGCTGAGAGGGAAAATGACATATCTTTAAGAGCTGGTGTATTTTCAGTTCATGGTGCATGTAAAAACCCAAACTGTAAAAAGCAGCAGTCTGTCTGGGTAACCTCTCCCGCCTACCTCTAAGTCCCATTTCCTGAACCAGCTCTTTCAACAAGTATTTGTCCCTCTCATAAATGAATTGGAGCTGAACGAAGTCGGGATCGAGAGAAGACGCTGAAATATCACTTATTTCTAAATATACATTCCCAGTTTCTCCTGCCCTGGTGGCTTTCCTTTAAAAGGAATTGCATCTTGTAGGTTTTGCAATGATCAAAAATGTATGATTTGATGTCGACATTTGAACTTAGTTTGGATTCCATTTGATTTCTGTGTTTTTCTCCGAGTCGGTCTTGCATCAATATTACATGCCTACTCTAGCAGAAGAGGGATTTTTTCCTGTTCGGTAATGGCAACCGCAGAGAACACAAACAAACTGGCCTCGAACAACAAAAGTTAAAACTCTTTCCTTATGTGTGGACGATGGGAGGGAACGGGTTCACTTCCAGTGTACGAGGATGACACAAAATGAAAACAGCGCAGGGCTAATAGAAAAGTGGCGACAGTTTAAACTTGACGCCAAGTAACCGAACACCCACAATACCAAGACGTCAAGGAAATGTGGTTGGCACGGGGTACGGCCAACGCTCACAGGACCTTTCATAAAACTCCTGCAAATGATGTCTTTAACACCAGGTTACCGCAACTCTACAACTACAGTGACCGGAAAACAGTTAGATTGCAGAGGTGGTAAGACGACACCTCTGAACGGGTTGTTTCGGCGGCCTATCTAATGGAGGGGCGATTCCTACCCAAGCACCAGTCCATTAACAACCAATTAACTTCCTATTAATATTTTACCAGACAGGGCCTCTCATCCTGACGTGTTTTAAGGAGCTTTTCCCAGGAGTGTTTGAACATGAGCAGCTTTTAGCGCAGCATAAAGAGGCCTGTGTAATGGGCTGAAGGAGGAGGAGTGGCAACCTGATAGCACTGAGAGCAGAGGAATGGAGAGAGAAGAGGAGACGGACTTCTGCAGCTGGCCTGTCCCGCACCGAGCCTAAGCCTGAGCCTGGCAAAACACACACACACACACACACAGACAAGGATTGCAACGTTAGGAAATCTACGTTTTTTTATGGCTCTGACACGAGATCAGACATGAGCGATGACCTTGTGCCATGAGTTGATCATAATAGTCAAAGAAGTGACTAATGTTTTTTTTGTCTCTTGTTGACTGTTGAAATTTGCAACAGTTTTGCCCCCGGGATTTTGAAGTGTGTCTCACCATCCTTGAACTTTATCAGGAAGATTATAAGCCTTAAAAACAGGAATATCCACCTTGCTCGTGATCGCACTAGCGTTGTGTTGTGTGAAGCTGCTTTGGGTGGACATTTAAAACTAGATCAGGGGAAACTCCCTGCCTTGAGAGAAAAAGAAAGGCAGCAAGAAAGCGAGGGGGAGGCCATTATGACTATAGCCCGAGGCTACTCCCAGCGGACAAGGCATTTGTCTTCACTTGAAAGTATGATTTATTTTTCCACCAGTCAGAAGGGTTATGTTTGTCACCACACACTGAAAGGACTTTTGGAAATAGCAGCAGAAGCAGAAATGGAAAAGAAAAAAAAAGAAGAAAAAGAAATGGTTTTCTAATGCAGTGTTCATGTTTTCTTAAAGACTTCCCCTCTATGGTTACCTTGTTTGAGATCACTTTCAGTCTTCATTAACTTTAGTTAATCATACTGAACCTTGCGACTAATTTATCAGCAGAAACCGTGTGTGTGTGTGTGTGTGTGTTTGTTGATGATTAAGAGAAAGAGGGGAATGTGGGAAGGGGGGAAAGATGTGGTTGTATCAGGTTCCCTCCACTGGGTGTAGATGTGGTCTTAGATTTCTCTCTGGGCTGCTGATTAACCGTGTGTGTATCTGTCTGTGTAAGCATATGTGTGTGTGTGTGTGTGTGTGTGTGTGTGTGTGTGTGTGTGTGTGTGCGCGTGTGCTGGGAGTGCACCGAGGAGGAGAGGAACTTCAGCTTTAATTTCCCCCAGCTCCAGATATTACACCCCCGCGCTCTGTTTTTATTGGAACAGAGACCAAAAAACACCAAGTGTTTATGATGCATTAAAACACGGTGGGGAACTCGAGTGTAGAATTGTAAATCTATACATTTTGGCTCTGACTCCGCAAAGCAGAATTAATTCTTTTATAGAGGATTTCATGTGTGTTTTTTTTGTCTTACGAAGACGGGTGACTGTAACACACCATGAAATTATGTTTATCATCTTGATGTGGAGGAACGGAGAGAGAATTCTCCGTCAAGGGGAATGACAGGAAAAAGGAGGGAGAGAAATTCAGAGGGGCACATGGGAGATGGGAGGAGTCACTTTGAGTTGATGCACAGGAGGAAAGAATTACTCTGCATCGCCCTAATGACCGTTTGGACAAACTCATGGGTGAGGAAACCACATTACATTCTATTAACTCTGCTTTTGTTGTCGGTGAACTGTTAATGGCGTACAAAGGGAGCCCTGCACCGCTCTCCTGGACAATCCATGCTCCACGCTTCTAATTATTCTCAGGAAAGTGCCGACAGCCTTGATACCTGGAGACACATTAGCTGCCTCTAATTAGAGTAAATATTCTTGGGCTGTAACACCAGTATTGCCTCACCAATCCAGCAGCGATTAGCTCAGTGTTTTTTTCCTGCGGGGCAGCTTATGCATCCCTGCTGCTTCCCTGTCTCTCATTCCCCTCATGTTTTTCCATCTTGATCATTGTCTTTTTGCTGTTTCCCTCACTCGTTTCTTCTCTGCACTCAATTTACCTCCATTCCTTTCCCTTCCTCTCCCTCTCTTCTCTCTAGTTCTCTTTCTTCCTCTCCTTGCAGCAGCAGCAGCAGATGCACCGCTATAGTAGCTGTGACAGAATCACATTGTCAATGCTCCAGCTATCTCCCAACTTCATTATATCTGTACACAGTGTCCGTGCCCTCCGCCACTCACAGCCCCTGATAGCTTCCAGTGTCCCAGCCAAACACAATGTGACAGCACTGCCACAGCCCTCATTTACAGCCATCACAGGACAGATTTCCCCTTCCAACGCTCCAGTCTGATAAATGGCACCCCTGCTTTTTTCCTGTGCCTGGATGAGAGCGTCTTGATTTTGTGTGTGTGTGCAACTGCATTTGTATCCCTCCATTCATCTACGTCCGCATATGTGTGTGTGTCTTTGTGTTGGAGCAGGCCAAAGCTGGAGCCGCAGCGTTTCCTCTGTCAGCAGTGATCCTTAAAACTATATATTATAATAAAACTAGGCTTTGTTTCCACTCACTCGCACCCTGTGTTTTTATATTTTAATGCACTCTGCCTACATTGTTTCTGATTTCTCTCAGAGTGCTGCTCAGTTTAAAGTGCTGCAGTTTGTGCATTTCTGTGGCGTTCTCATTGGAGCACCCTTGGGGGGGCACATCTTTTTCGATTGGGGGGAAACACTACTGCACAGTTCAGCTGTGGCACTCTTACTTTCCAATATCTCGTCTCTCCTCTCCTCCCCTCGAAATATTACACTTGTAGTTGTAGCCTCGGGCATCGGTTCTGTGTCACACTGGGAAGGTCAAAACACACACATGCACACAGACACACACACACACACACACTTTCTCATAGATTTCAAATATCTCCATCAGCCCTCAGAGGATCAGATTGTTTTACGGGAAATCATGTCACGGGTCAAATGATTGAATTATTAATGGAAGTGCGGTGCAATAACAATCGCCCCTTGTCTATTGTGATTCCAACGTGATATTCACAGAGCCCTCTCCAGCCTAACTTGATACTACCATGTTACGATCCAAATCCAATAATGCAGACTCTGCAAAAGAATGTTCCCCCTCCTCCTCCTCCCCCTTCTCCCGCTCCTTCATTGTTTCATCAGTCGAAAAAGTGTCTTTAGTCTGTTGCCTCCACAGTGAGGAGCATTACCGGGTCTGTAGAACCATATCGACTGCTGTGCCACATTTCCAAGGACGGGGCGATGCATTCTCATCAAAACTGTCATGGTAAAGTAATTCACTTTGATAGGACTCTTTCACAATACACTGGTCTATGAAAAGTGTGTTTTTTGTGCACATATATATGTGTGAGTGTGATCTGATGTTCCTTACAAAACTCAAATCT